CTTTACCTATAACATGTCAGAACAAGGTAAACGACAAGTGTTACCTACTAATGTTCGACCGACTCATTACACCTTGACTTTGACTCCAGACTTGGTCAATTTCACTTTTATCGGTTCCGAAATTGTCAAGTGAGTGATCTCGTATTATTTATGGAAATAAATTTGTTGATACGTAATTTATACTTATTCATTATATATATATATATTTTAATTATGTATTAGCATTAATGTCAATGAAAATACTAAAGTTATAACTCTTCACTCTAATGAGATTGAAATAAAATCTGCCAAACTTGTAAATTTGAATCTAAAAACCAGTCAAAGGTATAAAATTTTTTTTATCAAATTCATTATTAAACGATTATATATTAACGATTTTATTGGGCGATTAGTTGTGAAGCTGCAAAAATTGATTATAATGCTAAAGAAGAAACTGTTACTTTAACTTTTCCACAAGAGCTTTCTTCTGGAACTACTGCTGTTCTTCACATTGAGTTCACTGGCATTTTGAATGATAAAATGGTCGGATTTTATAGAAGTTCTTATAAAGATAAAAACGGAAATACTAAGTATGTGATGTTTTTAGTTATATTCATTATACGCAAATTTGACTGTAACTTCAAAGTGTCAAATAAATATATACTTATTAAAATGAAGATATATGGCAACAACTCAATTTGAAGCAACTGAAGCTCGCCGAGCGTTTCCCTCATGGGATGAACCCGCAATTAAAGCTGCTTTTGATATTACTTTAAATGTACCCTCTGATTTGACCGCTTTAAGTAATATGAATGTGGCAAGCGAGACTCAACTTGTTCATGGTAAAAAAGAAGTCAAATTTAACAGAACGCCGATAATGAGCACTTACGTGTGATATAATTTTTATTTTGTTTTTTATCAATATTCTGAGAAGCGAATCTTATACTCATAATTGTTTTACTTAAAAGTTGGTTGCTTTTATTGTTGGCGACTTGGGTTATATTGAAGCCCATACAACTGGAAAACACAATGATGGCAAGCCTATATTGATGAGAGTATATGCACTTAAAGGCGATGAACAACATGGTGAATTTGCTTTGAGTGTAGCAACACAAGTATTAGAATATTTTGCAGAAGGTTCGAAGAAATTATCTATCATTTAATAATAATATTGTTGGATTTATAATATTTAATTTGTAAATTGTTTTAGTTTTTGGAATTCCATATCCTTTACCTAAATGTGACATGGTTGCAATTCCGGACTTTGAAGCTGGTGGGATATAATCATTTATAGTTGATATTTTTGGGGATTGATTATTAATAATATCATCAATAATGTAATCAGGTGCTATGGAGAACTGGGGTCTGATAACATATCGTACTATCAGAATCCTTTTCGATCCTAAAGAATCTGATGTCAAATTTAAACATCGTATTGCGTATACTGTGTCTCATGAATTGGCACATCAGGTATTCAAATCATTTTCGCAATTAAGTTTATGCTGATTTAATATATTTAAATTTTGGTATTATTGTAGTGGTTCGGTAACCTCGTAACTATGGAATGGTGACCTTTATAATTTTTTTTTTCATTTGATACGATTTTAGATAAACTCTTTAAGATCAATCATAAATTTTATTAGGTGGGATCATCTTTGGCTTAACGAAGGTTTCGCCACATGGGTTGGATATTTAGCAGTTGATAAAATCTTTCCTGAATGGGATATTTGGACTCAGTACGTTTGATAAAATACCTTTTATGTTATAACTTTATATTGTAACGTATAATAAAAATTTATTCATATTTAATAAATAGATTTGTCACTGAAGGATTTCAGAAAGGTCTTCAACTTGATGCTTTAAGATCGTCTCATCCTATTGAAGTTCCTGTAAATAATACCAGGTAATTAAACATTTTTTAAGTTGTTTCATTGATTTGTATTGTTTTTCATTAATAATAATTATCAATTTGCTTTACTTAAATGTCATGTATTTAGTGAAATTTCTCAGATTTTCGATGCCATCAGTTATTACAAGGGTGCTTCTGTAATTCGCATGTTAAGCACTTTCATTGGGGAGAATGTGTTTTTATCCGGTATTAGAAGGTATTTAAAGCGTCATGAATTCAGTAATGCTAGTACTGATGATTTATGGAAAGCGCTAACAGAGGAGAGTGGCAACGATGTTGGTAAATTTATGACAGGATGGACTAGAGTGGTGGGAGTAAGTAAAAAAGTAAAACTAAAATATATTGTTATATTGCGCTGAGGCAACATTTTCTCATAACTATTTTTAATCATCTTAAAGTACCCGGTATTAACTGTTAAAGAACCGGCACCTGATACCTTGGAAATTCGACAATGTCGTTTCCTTTCAACTGGAGTAATTAGTCCTGAAGAGGACACTACCAATTGGTGGGTGCCTCTTGGTATCGACCTTGGACCTGAAACTCAAAATGATTTTAAGTCATTTGTTCTTACTCAAAAAGAGACAACGTTGAAATTGCCACTTAAAGCAACCGACTTTTATCAGCTTAATGCACACAAAACTAGCGTTTTTCGTGTCAATTACACTCCTGAACGATTAGCCAAATTAGGACAAGCAGTTAAGCAAGGATTCCTTAACGTTAGTGATCGTATTGGAGCAGTTGCTGATGCTGGTGCTTTAGCAGCTAGTGGTTACAGTAAAACTAGTGGCTTATTGAATTTCATCAAAGAATTCGAAGATGAGGATAAATATATGTGAGCTAAAAATCATTTGTAATTTACTATCGATATTATTCATTCACTTACTATCTAAAACTTTGTTTAAAAAGTGTATGGTTAGAGATTAGTAATCGTTTAGGAAATCTGCTTCATGCTTGGTTTGAACAATCCACACCAATTTATCAAGGACTCTTAGCTTTTAACCGTCAATTAGTATCTAAATTAGGTCCTAAATTAGGTTGGGAATATTCTGAAAGTGATGATCATTTGACCATTATGTTAAGAACACTTGCTATTAAGATGGGCGGTAGAGCTAATGATCCAGAGTATGTTTATTATATAATCAACTATATTTATAATTCTTTTTTCATGATATTTATTTATATTTAAATTTATTCTTAGTACTGTTAAAGAAGCTTTTCGCAGATTCAATCTTTTCACCAAACAAAATGATGAATCTGCTTTACATCCTAATATTCGTGGCGTTGTATTTGAGATTGTTTTATCTCATGGTGGTGGAGACGAAGAATTTGAAGCTATATTGAAAGTTTATCGTGAGGCCAAGTCAGCAGATCAAAAGACAGAAGCATTAACGGGTCTCGGTTTTGCTCAGCGTGATGACTTGATTCAACGTGCATTAAAATTTGCAATTTGTGAAGAAGTTAAAAGTCAAGATATTATCCATCCATTAATTAGGTAAGTAAATTCAATCGAATTTTCTTACAGTCATACAGTCATATAGTAATATATGTTTTTTTTTATATCGGTTGGTAATATTTGTTAATTGAATTTAATTATAGCTTGCAATTTAATTACAAGTCTCGAAGACCTCTATGGAATTTTGTTAAGGACAATTGGGATGTGGTATGAATATAATTTTATGACTACAAAACTTATATTTGATTTATATTGAGATACTTTGCTTTTTGTTTAGATTAATAAAAGATATTCCGAATCTCGTACTCTTTTTGGACACGTTATTAAGTTGACTACTCAATTATTCTCATCTGAAGATGACATTGCGGATATTGAGAAGTTCTTTTCTAACAAAGATTGTAAAGCATTCGAAAGACCATTACAACAAAGCATAGAAAACATTCGTGTCAATGCAGCCTGGTTGAAGCGTGATTCCAAGGATGTTGAGGATTGGTTGAAAGCTAATGGTTTCTTAGAATGATTTATTACTCCTTGTAATGATATATAAATGATGGATCTCACTTGAGAAAAATCTTAAAGTTTACTATTATTAACGTTAAACTGTTAAACTGTATATAAATCCATGATTTTATTAAATTATGACAAGAGCCAATAAATATTTATTTTGTAAAAAATGTGATTTTAACTTATGACAAAAAAGTTATATTTATTAGCATTATCAATGTTTTCCGCGATATATATATATATACATATCGGATATATAAATATTAGAAAGAAACTGGGGAAGAAAATTAAAACTAATAATGGCAACAAACTGAATCCGTTCCTATCCAAAATGCAAACAAAAAAATTTATATTTATAATAAAACCAATATTATTATTTTTTCCTAATGAATCAATTTAGATGTCAAAAAAATTGGTGACAGGAATACCTAATTGTTTGACCAAAAAAAAAACGGATTGATATTAGATGTATTTTTTAACAATTGGAAGATTGTGTTAAACAAAGGTATTGAAAAATTATAACATATATATATCCTCAAAACAACAATATTTAAAAGCCATAATGGATTTATCTAACTTTACTATATCGATAGAAAAACCATAAACATGTAAAAGTAAAATAATTCGCGGGATTATTACTAGTATTATTATGACTATCTACTGCTTTTTTCTAGAACAGAATTTATTAAAATTTAATAGTTAATAAAAATTTGTCGTTCTCGGATGTGTCGAGAAATTTTGTAAAAATTATTAACGAAATCTACGAAATCTGCAAAAAAATTTTTGTCTTGAAATTCCAATCTTTTTTTCTTGCTTGATAATATTGCAGATTGATATAAAATATGAATTAATTTAAATAGTTAACATAAAGTTGCAATACTCTCAACTTAACGACGTATTTATATTTTTTATACAAAAGCGTACTTAATATATATTACGTGAAATATAAAAATCTATTGTTACGATTATTTTATTTTATGTAAAAAAAAAAATCAAATATTTTTATTCCAAATATGATACAAAATATACACATTCAATTAACTAATAATATACATTTTTCTAGCAATTAGAGCAATATACTTACTTATTTATATTATATTATTCGTATTGAATTTTCATTATTTTTCGTAACAAATTTGTTGTTTAGATCTCCAACTATTCTTGAGCAACATCGTCATATAATGCGTTATCAAAGACCTTAGAACCCTCTTCTGCCGTTTCTCCTAGCGCAGTCTTCTCTTCATCGGTAACGTGAGTGCTAATTTCATTATCGGCTTCATAGCCGCTCGTCGATTCTTCTTCTAATGTTTGTAATCTCTCTGAATATGTTAATGCATATCCTGGATCCATTGATTGCGGATAGAAGTACATATGTGGCATTGTAATTTGGATCGGGATAGGAACTCCACAATATTGTGCGGATTGTGAAGCAACTTCAACAAGCCCATATTCGCTAATAGGCTGTCCAGGAACATATGGTGGTGCATAAGAATGTAAAATGTTAGGCTCATAACTGTAATCTTGTGAATATGAGCTTCCATTTTTGTGATTAATTGTACCCATAAATGTCGCATATGGGTAGGGAAGACCTTCCGGAGTTTGTATATATTGTAGAATAAATATAAATAAATAAGTTAATATTACACGATAAGTGTTTCAATTATACAAATAATTCTTACCTTGAAGACTTCCTGCGTATGCTGGAATCATCCCAACAGAAGAAGTTGTCGGTGCTGGTGGAGGATAATACTATTAAAAATATTTATATCATTATTCATGTTAATGATGTGTCAAATTTTCGAACAAGAGATCATACCATACTAGAAACGGTATTGTTTTGCAATACAGGTACTTCTGGACCTTTGCCTTTGGGCTCTTGCTTTCCACTCGTGATAGGAACGACTTTGTGAACTCCCATGCCGACTTGCGGATAGAATATGGGAGTTGTCATAACTGGAATCTCTGGGATAATACTATTTTTTCGTCCTTTGCATATCTTTTGAGTACTCGCATAGTAATTTTGTCCACGTGATAATGGTGGAAGTCTTATAGTTTGGCGCCCAGAGTTGTAATATGAGTCTTGGAAAGCTCTTCTTCTTACTTCTTGCTGTTGACGAAGTAATTGAATTTGCTGGTTGCGAAATTCTTGGGATTCGCGATATTGTACACGAATAATCCGATCAAAATATCTGCTATTGTTCTACAATGAAAAATGACGATTACCTTTAAATAAAAAAAGAAATAATTTCATTGAATTACATACTTCAGCTTTGATTGCGTTTTCAGAAGCATCCTCATCGTTGTAGTTAATGAACGCAAATGCGTTTCGTGGAGGACCTAGTATGATAAAAATTGTTAAATATTTATTATGAAATAAAATAAATAAATGCTTAATGTATCAAAAAAAAAATACCTAATGATCGTGAGAATTTTCTTGCTACATATTGAACCTCCTTAATTTCACCATAACGGCCGAATTTTTCAACAAGCAATTCTTTAGTTACCTCGGCCTGGTTAAGCTGGCCAACAAATATCGATCGCTTGTCAATGTCTTCTGGCCCGGGAACTGCCTTTTCCAAATTCGCTGCCCATTCGATTATATAGTTACTCCCATGTTGGCGTAGATTCTGAAATTGAAGGTCAATTAATAATTAGTTATCATTTTTTTAACAAAAATCAACTAAGAAACATACCATATATGCTCTAATAGCATCATCTCGATAGCAGAATTTAACAAAGGCACAGCCTTTGCTCTTTCCAGTTGAATAAGTTCTTAATAGATGGACGTCTTCTGTATCTCCGTATGGTTCAAGTATTTCACGGATATCCTATGCAAAATTTATTAAATTTTTATTCATTAGTAAGTTTAAAACGATAAAAAAAAAGGATCTAAGAAAAAATAATCGATATACCTCTTCATTCATGGTTCTATTTAATCGTCCAATGAATAAGGTACGGTTCACTCGTGCTTGCTCAACACGAATGCGTCGTCCCTCGACAACAGTATTATGAGCTTCAACTAAGGCCTTTTTCGCATCACATATGTTCTAAATTTTAAAAACCAAATATTAAAATTAATGTTTATGATCAATTTTAAACATATTAAAATTTTTCAAAAAAGCAAGTACCTCGAATTGCACAAATGAATAAGGCCGCAATAACCAATCTTTTAGCACTTTGACATTAAGAAGCGTTCCCCAATTTGAGAAGTGGTTCCATACCGACTTCTGTAAAACTTCGTCGGATTTTGTTGAAGGCAAACTAAATGTAAATTTGGTTATTCAAAACATTATATCTATAGTTATGAAAGAAAAATAGTAATTTAAATAATAAAAACAAATCTTACCTAGCTACAAAGAGACAGCCTGCTGGTAACCCTCGTTTCGCCGTGTGTTGGGTTTCTGAAGCGAGAGCGTTTTCAGCATCCTCAGATGGAATTTCGGCTTCTTTTTGAGTATCTGAAAATCATATATTAATTATGACATTTGGCTGAGTAAAGTATCTTGGATATTTTTACTAACCTATTTCATTATCAGACACGTTCTGTTCCTCTTCTGCTTTCTCGAATTCTTTAAGTTGACTTTCTTGATCTTTTGCAGAAGAATCGTATTTCTGTTTGGTATGTTTGGCAGTATTAGTTTTGTCCAAACCATTGAGATTCAGAATATCTTGATTTTTATTGTTTGGTTCCATTTCGTAAGTATAAAAATTCTACAAGAGGGATATAGGAAAAAGTAAAATACGTTAGTACCGAATCAATAGATCACATAAAGATAAGAAATGGAAAGATCAAAAACAAAGAAACGCGAAACAAGTTAAGTAATTCTAAAATCAGAACATAAAGAAAGATTTTTTTGTCAAGGTTTTGTGATAAACAGCCGCGAAAATAACCATGAGCTGTTCGAAAGGCCTTTGGATTTTTTCAACGTTTTTTGAAAGGTTCTTATCGTCAAGTCGTTAATAATAACCGACCCGTCCTTGCTTTACGTTTTTTCGTTCGTTGAAAGTAAAAATAACTTACTTGAAGAAAAAAAATTTGGGGTAGATTAATTGAGGGGGTTTTATAAGTTTAATGAAAATCTAAAAATTGGTGACAATTTAACGTTCAAATTGGACCAAAAAAATAAAAAATTTACATGAGTTGTACCCCAAACAAAAAAAAAATTCTTTTTTTTTTTTCTTTTTTTTTTTAACGAAAACTTGATGAGTAATATCAAATATTTTCTATTGCGTATTATATCAATTTTTTTATTTTTTTGTATCATACTTTTGTCATATTAACCACATTGAACGAAAGTTGTTTTACTCTAATTGCTTACGTTGCATTTTATTTGATTATTTGATTAGTAATAACAGTCATTCAATTCCTGGTTCCGGTGACTTTTATATTCCGAACTGATTTGCCGTATTATAACGAAAAATTAAAATATTTTTTTGTTATTTAGCAAAGGTTTCAATTGTATTCGAATGTGAATCGGAAATTAAAAGAAATGCCGCCTTTGTAATCATAATGACCGAATGCATTTACAACAAAGTTTCAAAGAAACTCTCACACACAATACAATATATAATAATACTAACTTGGCAAAGAAATTTGCAATGATTAAAATTGCTTTTTATGATGAATATACAGTACTATTAGTTATTAGTTATTGGATAGGGGTCATTATGTCGGACTTTGACTGATATAGCCCCTTCCAATAAATTGGTTAACGTTCAGTCATTATGACTATATGACTAATGCGACAAACCAATAGAAAACCTTGAAACCACCATTGCTGGCATTAAAATAATCCGTCGCATAGTCCTAATAACTGAACGATAACTATAGATGATGTCACACATATGTAACCATATGCTGAAGGCTCAGATTAACGAATTTCATTGGGCGATTATTTAATTTCAGAGGGATGTAATAATTCATCACATTCACTCTATTAAAAAATTATTTAATGATCCGCTTGATTTTTACAAAAGATTTAGACATCAAAGGAATTTTGGATATAAATGAAAAACCTTTTACAAGGATCAATATTATTTACTTTGGTAAAATAAACTTTACACGTACTTTACAAAAAGTAAATGATTGGAGTACAATAAAAAGTGATTTAAAAAGGGGATTTCCAAAATTTTTTTCTCCTAGCAAAATCCCTCTTGGCATTAATACATTTCATAGGATCATTGACTAAAATAGCATCTATATTGCCAATTTCAAAACATTTTTTGATATCTTTTGGATCTTCTAAAGTCCAAACAAATAATTTTTTACCCCAAATTTTAATTTGTTTAGCGAATCCGGTATCATCTGATAATATATGTGGATATTCTATATTATAACTTTCTACTTCAAAGAATGTTTTACGTGCTTCAGAAATATCGCTGCCTATATGGGCAATTGGAATTTCCGGAAGAACTTTACGAGCTTTCACGAGAAAATCCGGTGTCCATATGCCGAGATATAATTGTGATGAGAAATTATATGGAGTATTGGATTGAATTATGTCGGCGATCGCATCGAGGATTTCAATCCTGTTATCTTCCTATGAAGAAAAGTAAAAATTTTTGATGTGTGTCTGAACATTTCTGAGTATCGATATTTTGATGATTAAAATTTCTCATCGGTTACCTTAATGTCAACAATTAAGAAGACGTCAACATTTTCGTCCTGTTTTAATAAATCCAAAACATCTTGAAATCTTGGTATCGATTCATTCTCACTATTTAAATATTCAATATATCCAACCCAATTTTTATCGTCGATTAATCCCGTACCATTTGTGGTCGTATCTAATGTATTATCATGCATCATTATAACTTGTCCGTCTTTAGTATATCGAACATCGGATTCTAACGCATTTGCTCCGTAAATTAATGCTTTTTGTAATGACTTTAGTGTATTTTCCGGAAATTTATCCGGATATCCTCTATGTCCCACACAAAGTGGCTCGGATGGTTGTGCTTTTTTTTTTTAAAAAAAAAAGGAAAAGAATCGCATTCTTCTTATTAAAGAGATTTTAATTAACTCAAACATAATATCTATTTTATTAAGTTCTTACCGAGAACATTATGACAAAATATAAACATTGAAATAAGCAAAAAACTTTTTAAAAGAGTTAATGACATTGTATTTTTTTATGTTATATATAAGAAATTTTGCTCGAGAATTTCGCAATATTTAAATTATATCTTTTGGTAAGATATTAACCATTGAACAACCGAATTATAAAAACAAAATAGCGATATATCTTATAAATCGATTTTAACCAACTTTGTTAAAAAATTTACAAATTCAGCATGTAAAAAAAAATCATATGGGTTACGATTAGATCAATATGGGACTATTATGGATTAAAGAAATCAAACTTCTTTAACTCGTGCTACATTATTTATGGTCGCGGCGCCAAAGGTGGTTTAGCCTTGTAATGTATATTAAAAGGCTGTTGAAGATCAAGTCGGTTGTCTTTTACCTAAATAATATGTATTTCCGAATGATCACAACTGCGCATCGACAATATTTTTTAAAAAAACAAAAATTACAAAAGTTTATATTCATATAACAAATATATTTATTTCGATCAAAATATCTGAAAAGATTTAATACGATCATTGAAATGAAATAAATTGAAAAACTATAACACAATCAACCATTAGTTGCACAACTCCACAGAGAATAAATTGAAGTGGAGCTCCCGTATGCGTATAATAAAATGCTTTAAATGCATCTCCAAAAAACCATGTTAATAAAATAACCGGACTTAAGGAAAATAATTTGTTGGATTTTAATTAATAATGATTATTATCTTTTTTTTTTTTTAAAAAAAAAAAAAAAATTACCTGAATCCTGCTACAGATTTTTTTTGAAAATTTTGTAATGTTTGTGGCATGGGAACAGTACTTTCGATACCAAGTGCCTACAAAAAAATAATAATAATAAAAAATTGTTTTTCCTATTTTTTTTTTTTCGCATTAAAAAACAATTCATACCGCAAAACCTAATAGTTCAATAAACCAATATTGATCACCCAACGCTAAATAAGAAATTGATAAAACACCGACTAATGATCCAAGAAAAGTTAAATATGGACTTAAATGACTCCAATTCCAAAATTGTCTTTGTTTTGGATTATATAAAGAAGAATACGGCAAACGATATTTTACACTCTCGTATAAAACTATTAATTGTGTTATTATCATTATTATACTTTGATATAATAATACATCATCGAATCTTTTTCCGAACCTACGATATATTTAAAGCTATTAAAAAGACAAACAATCGAGTTTTCTGATCATTTAAAAAAAGGTAAAAACTTACCAAAAGAAGACTCGAATAATGCTATCAACAATAAATTGATAAGATTAACCAAAAATAAAAAAAAAAAAGGAATATAACATCTCTTATTGTTATTCACCTACTAACTAATAATATTCCACTAGTATCTAAAGAAAATCCTGCACTGGATTTAGTTTTACGAAATTTAGCTATTTGATCAAAATATCCTAATACTGGCCCAATGACCATGGAACTTTGTAAAAGTATTTCTGCCATGTTCATAAATTCTTTTTTGAAAAGGCGGTGCTTATATTTATATGCATGAAAATCAGTCGACATTTAAGGTTACATTACTTTCACAACATAAATTAAAACTTTAACAAATTTGGAAGGTGAACTTGTCGGTCGTAAGATGAAATAATTTTTCGTAAAATTATTTACCTAACTATAATAACTTATCTTGGACATTTTCATAAGACGATGTTTAAAGAATCTCCCAACGCTTGGACAAAGATTCATGAAACGACGTAATCGGAATGATATTTTCTGATTGATTAAAGTAACACTAGTTTCATTGCTCAGGAAAACATGAAAAACATATCATATATCAAAGTTTTTTTGTTGTTAATTGTTAAAAATAAAGGTTGGTTCATTTTCTAATGGAGAATTTTAGTTTTTAGTTTTAGTTTTTTTTTGAATAAATGAGATTATCAGCGAAAGCAGCTGTTCAATAAATGTCAATAAACAGGCACTGGTTTACTCATGAAAACCAAATTTCCAAAAGAAAGAAAATTCACAAAGATATTATTTTGATAATTTATACATTTTTAGAAATGATAAGCGCGTTCGCGACCTGAAAGATTGGGAGATTTAAAACATTTGAAAATGTACGTTTTTGTAAATTTGACATAACCATACCTTTTGTGGAATGAAGTTCTTTGGAATTCTGCAACATTATAAATGGCAGTTACATGGGCACTCATTCACCATTCACACACGTGGTATATATTTATAGAAGTATTTATAGAAAATTAACATTCACTTTTACAGATATAATTCACGTGCGAGTTTACCCAAATTCATGATTACTAATGATTATTTAATTAGTCAAATATTTTTCTTAAAATATATCCTTTTATAGAAATACATCACGACCCTTTTTATAGGGAGTATCAAATACGTATCCCTTTTGAAACTATTTTCTCATGATCGTAGCAAAAAAAGATTATAAAACTCTTTTCTTTGAGTATTTGTTAAGCAACAAAAATTATTTTCTTCACTCTTAATACTTGCTTTTTTGTTTTGATTTTTTTTATTTTAATAAACTTGAAGTGAGCAAAATTGTCGCAATAAAGAATAATGACAAAAAAAGCCTGGTATTATTGACCAAATATTCCTTGGTCTCGGTTTGCGTATGTTT